TGTTGTTTTTGTTGTTCAAATAAAGGTGTTATAAACATTCATCCACAAGTTTTTATGTGAACAGAAATTTTTATTTCTTTGGGATAAATTCCCCAGAGTACAATTGCTGTCTTGTATGGTGTTACATATTTAATATTTTAAGAAACTTCCAAACTGTTTTCCAGAGTGGCTATACCGGCTTACATTCCTAGCAGCAATGAATCATCCAGTTTTTTTGCTTTTGGTGGTGTTTTTAAAATTTTAGCCATTCTGATAAATATGTAGTGATAGTTCATTGTCCTTTTACTTTGTGTTTGCCTGATGGTTAATGAATTAAGCATCTTTTAGTGGGCTTATTTGCAATCTCTATATCATCCTCAGTAAAATGTTCCCTCATGTCTTTTACCCATTTTTGAATTGGATTGTGTATTTTATTACTATTGAGTTTTGAGAGTTCTTTATGTGGTCTCAACACTAGTCCTTTTTCAAACATTCATTTGCAAATATTTTCTTCCAGTCTGTGGCTTGTCTTTTCATCCTTTTACAGGGTCTTTCACAATACAAAAGTTTTAAATTTTGATGAAGTCTAACTTCCCTTTCTTGTGGATCATGCTTTTACTGCCAAGTTTAAGAATTCTTTGTCTAGCCCTAGATCTAGAAGCTATTTGCCCGTGTTTTTCCTGGCAGCTCTATTGTTATACGTTTCACACTTGATCTTAGTGAAAAGGCTGAGAAGTGATTAGTTTTATGGTTTAGGTGTAAGTCTGTGATTCATTTTGAGTTAGTGTGAGACATAGGTTGTGTCAGTTTTGTGTTTTTTTTTAAATTTTAAACACCTGTGGATATCTAGTTGCTTCAGTGCCATTTGATGAAAAGGCTATCTTTTGTCTACTGGATTGTCTTTGCACTGTTGCCAAAAATCAGTTGGGCATATGTGTGGGGTCTATTTCTGGGTTCTGCCTTCAGTTCTGTTGATCTATGGCTCTCTCCCTCCACCAATACTGTGTAGTCGTGGTTACTATAGCTTACTATAATAAGTCTTAACAGTGGGTGGACACAGTTCCTCCTACTTCGTTCTTCTTTTTCAAAGTTGTTTCAGCTATGCTTATTCCTTTGGTTTTTCATATAAATTTAGAAAAAATATAATCTGTGTCTCCCAAAATCTTGTTTGTATTTCGATAGGAATTGTGTTAAAGCTGTATACCACTTTGGGGAGAATCGCCATATTTACCATGCTGAATTTCCCAGTGTGTGCCTCTCTAATTGCTTAGATATCCTTTGATTTCTTTCAGCATTGTGTATTTTCAACCTACAACTTCTGTACATATTTTGTTAGTTTTTTGGAGTGATTATAAATTATATTGAATTTGTAATTTCAGTGTTCATGTGTTGACTTTTGTCAAATGTTTTTTCTGAATTGATATGATCATGTGATATTTTTCTTCTTTAGCCTGTTAATATGATGGAGTATATTGATTTTTAATATTGAACCAGCCTTGCATCCCTGCAATAAACTTCATTTGATCATGGTATATAATTCTTGCTAAAATTTTATTAAATATTTTTGCATCTATATTTATGAGGTATACTGCTTTGTAGTTTTTCTTTATGAAGTGGTTTAGGAAGTGCCATCTCCTCTTCTCTTTTCTGGAAGAGATTGTGTAGAATAGTGTTAATTTTTCATTAAATGTTTGGTAGTATTCTCCACTGAAACCATCTGGGCTTGGACATTTTTTTAGGACTTTGAAAATATTAATTCAATTTCCCTAATAGTTGTAGGAACATTCAGATTATCTCTTTCATATTGGATAAGTTGTTACTATTTATGTTTTTCAACAAATTGGTCCATTTTGTCTAAGTTTTCAAATTTATATGTATAGAAGTATTCACAGCATTCATTTATTGTCCTTTTGATTTCTGCAGTCTGTAGAGATACCTACTGTTTCAATTCTGATGTTGGTAATTTTTGTCTTCTCTTGTTCTTTTGTCATTCTTGCTAAGGTTGATTTTTATTGATCTTTAAAACAACTAGGTCTTTGTTTCCTTCTTTTTCTTTATTTTTTCTGTTTTTATTATTGATTTTATCTCTTTGTTTCTTCTGCTTGTGTATTGTGATTATTTTGTTCTAGGTTCTTGAAGTGGAAAGTTAGATTATTGATGTGAGATGTTCCGTTTTTTTCTGATGGTTACATTTCCCTCTTTGAATATGTTAGCTGTATCTCACAAATGTTAATTTTTTATTTTCATTCAGTTCAGTGTATTTTTTGATTTCCCGTGAGACCTTTCTCTTTGATTCATGGGAATATATAGAAGTTTGTTTAGTTTCCAAGAGTTGGGAGATTTTTCTGTTACCTTTCTTTTACCAACTTCTAGTTTGATTCCATTGTGGTTAGAGAAAATTCTGTATTATTTAAATTTTCAAAAATTTGTTGAAGTTTGTTTTATGGTCCATCTTGATATATGTTCTTTGGGCACTTGAATGGAATGTATATTCTGCTATTGTTGGATAGAGTGTTCTATAAATGTCTACTAAATCTTGGTTGATGGTATTCTTGAGTTCTTCTATATCTTTGCTGATTCTCTGTGTAGTTCTGTCAGTTGTTGAGAGATGGGTTCTGAAATCTCCAGCTGCACCTGTGTATTTGTCTATTTTTCTTTTCAGTCTTATCAGTTTTTGTATCACATATTTTGCAACTCAGTTTGTTGTATACACATTTAGGATTGCTATTTCTTGGTGGATTCATCTCTTTTATCATTTTATAGTGTCCCTGTCTGTCTCTGGTGATTTTCTCTTCTCTGAGATTTACTTTACTTGATATTCATATAGCCACTCCTGCTTTCTTTTGATTCACATTTCTATGATATATTATTTTCCATTCTTTATTTTCAACCACTGATACTGTTTTCAACCACTGATACTGTTTTTTTGAAGTGAGTTTCTTGTAGACAGTATATAGTCGAATCATTTTTAAAAGCCACTCTGCCAATTCTTGTCTTAAACTGATATTTTTAGACCACTTATATTTAATGTAATTGTTGATATTTTAAGGCTAAAGTGTATCATTTTAGTTTTTATTTGTTCTTTTTTTGCTTCTGTTTTCTTTTTCTTGCCTTCCTATGAAAAGTTTTGTTTTCACCTCTGTGAGGTATTAGAGATTATACCCTTTTTTACCTTAATTGCAAATTAGTGAATAAAATTCATGGAACATTCAATATTTAATATTCCTGACATCTGTTCATCTAGTTAGCCATCTATTCATTCATGCTTTCAAGAGATATTTATTGAACCTCTACCCTGGGCCAGGCATTGTCATTTTCTTTTTCTTTCAGATTATTCTCTTTCAGTTCTTTAGTAGTGTAGTATATTTATTTCCTCTGGTTGTTGTAACAAGTTATCACAAACCAGGTAGCTTAAAAATAATAGAATTTTATTCTGTCACAGTTCTAGAGAACAGAAGTCTGAAGTCAAGATGTCAGCAGGGATCTAGAGGAGAATCCATTATTGCCTATTCCAGCTTTTGGTGGTTGTCACCATTCCCTGACTTGTGGCTGTATTGCTCAAATTTCTGCATCTGTGGTCAAACGGCCATCTGTTATGTTTTATTCTGCGAGTTTCTCTTTTAAGGACACTTGCTATTGGATTTAGGGCCTAGCTAGTTTGGATAACCCAGGATAATCTCTTTATCTCAAGAGCCCTTTAAAAATAAAGACAATAATCACAGGTTCTAGGATTAAGATGTAGACATACCTTTTAGGGGGCCACCATTCAGTTCACTACTAGTAGTGTTTTTCTGTGCAACCTTAATTTCTCTTTTTTTGACCCTCTCTCCATTTGGCGTGGATTCTCTATTTCACACCCTTCACTATTCCTTCTGAATTTTGTCTAGTAAAGGATTCTCCTAGAGGGTGATGAGAACAGTGGAATGATTACGATGTCCTGTATTTCTAGCTTACCATATTGCAACAGAAAAAGCCTTTCTTCATGGCAGGGCAGCCTCATTTAGAATTAGAATATGTTTCTTTTTAATAGAACTTACTCTGAAGCAAAAATATATTACTTAAAAAAACTATGTAAAATGTATTAAAGTCTTATGTACATATAACTACAAATCCATTTGAAGAGATAAGTAAAATAATTCTAATCAATAAGTAAATATTATGGAATCAGCAATCAATATTTAAATTGGTGTCAGTTAAGAATAGGTGGGATTTCCCTCTGAGGTGATGCCATGTTTATTGGCATCTTTTTGATAGATATCTATCCATCCACATATATATATGGATATTTCAAGTATTTTCAAAACTTAGGCCACTTTGGTTATATTTGAAAACAGTTTTTTTGCTGTTTGTGGAAATGATTTTTTTGGAAGAATTTGAACATTTTTTTCAAGGTATTTAGGCCACTAGAGTATTGCTGAGATTATTTTGATAACTCCTTAATGAATGTCAATTTAAAAAGGAATTATGTAAATACACCCTGCTGATCTTTAAGAGTATTGAGTGTATCTTTAAGAAGTTTCTGGCATGGAGTCAAATCTAGTTTTACAAGTGATTTCACTGTACCAAGAGAAAGTTGTATGATTTTGCTGTAGTTGATTTTATTGCTTTCCCTGTTGTTATGATTATTAATGTTTACCGTAATAAAATGTTACCGTTTATACATTTTTATAAAGTATGGCAAACTGACAGGTCACAGGAAAAAATGAGGTGGAATTAAAAAATACGTATTTAGTAATAGTCTCAAAACTTTTAGGCTTAAGACATATTAAAACAATAAGATAATCTTGTTTCAGCACAGGCATCATTAATATCTTCATGTATTTGTGATAAGATTTGCTTAATGAAATTTCAGTTTTGGTTTTAGTTTTATATCTAAATGATGTATTTCTGGCTTAAAACTTAGAAGTCTGAGTGCTTATCATTCAAAGCAGTCATTTTTCCAATTAGTCCATACTTTTTATAACTGTGCAGAGGAATTCAGCTTATAATTATACATTTTAAATTTGTGTTTTCTTTGTAAGTGCTGGTCAAGATGTCCAAGGAACAAGTGTGATTGCAAATCTCCCGTTTTTGATGCGACAGAATCCCACTGAGACGCTTCGGAGAGTGTTGCCAAAAGTCAGAGTAAGTTGGTATGAAATAAGATTGGAGTTTCCCATTTTTCCCAGTAGCATGTTGTCATTGTTGAAAGAGGATTTTGGAGCTTTGATGGCTGATCTTTTGCACCTTGAGTGGAGGAAGTGTTATTATATACATTTTGAATTATAATGAAAATATTTAGGGAAATTAGCTGATGGAAATGGAGAAATTCAGATCTTAAGTTGTAAAATTTCTTTAGTCATTTTCTCAGTAGAGACATTTTACTAAAGGTAATTTTTAGTAGCTCAAAAACACCTCCTAATTATTCTTAAAAAAAGTATTTAATATTCTGTTGGCTTAAATCTATATTAATAGTATTCATATAACATTGATAATGTAATTGAGCTGATACTCCTAATAATTGACCCTATGATGACCTCCGAAGAATCATCAGATAAAGTGAATTATAGCCATCACAATTTTAGATGTGTATGTAATTTATTGCTTCATAAATTTCTTCAGAATTAGTTTTTCTGCTATGAACAAAAATGTTTGATCTACTATTACATTCTTTCTATTTAATATTTATTGATTATTAATATAAAATTAAATAATTTCAACTATTAAATATTTACTAATTATTTATTTGTACTTATATGCAAAGTGCTTTTCTTTATAAGAACTTGAATGAACAAAACAGACACCAGTGTATGTGTCCTCCAAGAATTTGCCTACTAATGGGGTCAGTGAGGTTACATACTACTGAGGATTATGTTTGCTAATAGAGGTTGGTAGATTTTGCTTTTTTTTTTATTTGGATATAGCTCTTCTCATAATTTTTAATTTATGTGTTTAAAATACTGAAGTTATTATTGAGTCCTTGAGTTTTATTTTTAGGCATGTGTATTATGGTTCTAGTTACTGTGATTTAGATCAGGGACATACCATGTTATTTTCATGAGATGCCCACCTATGCAGGCACTATGAACGTTTTGACCGATTACAATGGTGAATTAAGATGATATTTATTTTGGCATTGCATGTGATTCAAAAATAAATCAAGCTTTTTCATATCTGTTTTTCCCAGAATCATGCCATAATTTCAAAGGAATTAGGTCCACACAGACCAGGTTTATTTTTACATTCAATTTCTGTGATACTAACTGACCTACACTTGTCAGCAGGACACCTGGAAGTGCCAGTTAAACAATAGCAGAAAGGAACAGGTATTTAGGTCCTCTTGGCTACAGAGTTAATGTAAGTAAGCAAATTAGATTTATAGCTAAGAATATTGCATGCTGCACACTCTGCGTTGAGCAGGTGAAATCTGGTCCACAGAGAGCATATTAGATGTCCAAAGTTTCACGATGCAAGAATAAAAGATGAAAGAGAGCAGTGAACTTTAGACATCTCTAGATTACTTTGCAAAAATCCTTTTGTTGAGTTCACAATAAAGGAAATTAAGTAACAGCTCCCCCAAAACCTTAATTTCATGGGGGTGTATAAATAATATAGTACACTCATATGTATAGCATATTTATACAAAGAATCAAATGTATCTTCTGAAACTATAAGGTATGCCTGAGTTATAGAAAATATAGTTTTAATAAGCTTTAAAAGTAATGGAAATTAATCCATAATACAGAGTATATTAACTAATAAATGAATACAAAGGTAGTATATACTAATGAATATGTACTAAGGAAACCTTTATTTATAACTGAATGATTTCACTCATTTATTTTACTAATCAACATGCAACCATTTATTTAGGACCATCGTCTTGCCCTGTACTCCGTTTAAAAGAGATACCAAAAAGGTAGAAGAGTCCAGATTAGATTGTATATTAGGAAGGTCTAGTGACCATGGGAAACAATGAGAGAACAAGTATGGTTGAGTATTGTGTGCTTCTGACTTGATGTAAAAATGCTGAAGAATAAGGCAAATGAGAAGGGCTTTATGGGGGTAACTCCAATAATAATGACTTTTATTGATAGTTTAATATATAATGTAGACAGCCAAACATTTGATCACCCCCATTTCAAATGATAAAATCTGTGTTTCTGTGCATATTATTTTAAATTCATTGTATTCAGATTTTGTTGTGACTTATTGGTACTCCTGGTTAGCACCTCTGTCAATTCCACCTCACTTCTGTGAGTGTTTACTTTCCAGTGATGAAACGCTGACAAAATATTGGGTAACTGCTTTGTTTACTTTTGCTTGGCCATGATTTCTCAATTTTTTTTTAAAAAAGTGATCTTGAGCATTTAGTAATAATGGCATTGTCATTCATTCATAAATATTTACTGAGTCCTTTTATAAGGCAGGCACTGTTCTAAGCACTGGGAAAACAGAAGTGAACAAAAGATAGGGAACTTGCCCTCAAGGAGGCTACAGTCTAGATGGAGAAACAGACATTAGACGAGCAAATCCCTCCCCACCCAAGAAAGGTATAATGGTCATTTGTGATAAGCAGTCTGAGTGTACAGAACACAAGTTGATGAGATAAAGTAATAAAGTAACGAGGGCACCTGCTGTGCATTGGGATGGCAAGGGATGCCTTTTTGAGGGGCAGAAAACTGAAGGGATGGAAAGAAGCGCCATTTGAGAGTCAGGATCAAGTAGTTGAGGTAGAGAGAGCAGTAAATAGCCCTAAGGTGAAAGAGCTGGTTGGGACTGAGGTAGAGACAGGTGTGTTTTGGACCCAGTGAATGGGGTGGGGTGTGATTGAGAAGAGGTTAGAGAAATGGTTGATGACGGAGCATTCAAGTGTTGGTTTTCATTCTTAGGACAGTGAAAAGTCCTTGAAGGCTTTAAAGCAGGCAGTGACTTAATTGTGTTTCTATTTCACAGTGATCATTTTGGTTATTGTATGGAGAATAGATTGCAGTAGGATAGTTAGGAAGCTTCAGTACTGGGCCTCATAGCTAGTATAAGGACAACCAAATTAAGGCAGTAGAGAGCAGTGGACATATCTGAGATAACATGGGTTAAGGTAGAATGACCAGAACTTTATAATGGATTGGGTTTGTGAAGTGAGAGATGACTTCCAGATTTCTGGCTTGACCATGCATATGGTTCTGCTGGTTTTCAGTTATAGTTGATTGTTGAATTCATAAGGAAAATAATTTGTGTACTTGATAATACTAGTCTTTTATGAATAATTTACTTTTAGATAATTTAAAGAAATGAACAATAAATATTTTATGCATTAAGTTAATTAATACCAAGATGTTTACCACGTTTATAACAGTAGTGTGTGCAGCTTTTAGAGTTCACTTTTACCTTGTCTTTACTTTTAAGAATATCAGATAAAGTAATGGAGATTTTGCTGGCCTTATGTATTATAAACTTTCATCAGTGATATTTTTGTTTTATTGCATTTGCATTTTGTTCTTATGATAATGGATTAACTGAAAAGTGATTTAAAAAATAGGTTGCTATTTTCACTGTTTTAGAGATAAAGGAATTTAATGTTTAAAAATAAAATGTCAGAAACAGAGTTGGTGTTACAATTGAGCCAATCCATCAGATTGAGGTTGATGTCTAGGATAACTAACAAAAGAAGAAAAATAGAAAGTAAGAAAAATAGAATTAAGCCAATCCATAGTATTTCCCCAGTTTATTTTCTAAATTGTGTGCAAAGTGGGCAATGAATGGTAGTGCAGTTAGGCCACTCATCTCAAGATTGAATTTAGCTAGGAATTTAGAAAGTAAATGTTTGACCTCCAATTTAAATTTCCTAAATGTGGAGACATTTTAAAATATAGTTATTACCATATATTCACGTTACATGATTTAATCCTAGGGTATCTGTTAAAGAATTGTTTTTGTGTGGTTTTATTAAGTTTTAATTCTTTTTCCACAGTATATTAAATTGAAATCTTAGATGTTTGTTAGAACTCAATATTTGATTTGAACTTCTCGTTATCTAGAAGTGAAAGAACTTGATTGGCAAGATAAATATCCAAAATATTATACCATGGTCTTTTATAAAATTCAGAATAATAGTGATATAATTACACCACATAACAAAGGTGATTCCATTACAATCCAATGCAAAAAACACTCTCAACTTACTGAGTTATTAAATTTATTTAGTTGTTTTTACACTTACATTTTGGCAACCATAATATGTGTCATAAAATTATGTAATAGAAGTTAAGCAATGCCAGGTACAGATAAAAATAATGTAGCAAATATTTATTGAGGTCTTACTACGTGTCAGGCACTGTATTCTGTCAGATATTCTACATATTTTAATCTGAATACTCATAGCAGTTCTATAATGATCACTTGACAGTGGAAGAAACAACTTAGTTAAGTAACTTGCTCAAAGTCACAAAGCTTGCAAGTGGTATAATTAGGTTTAAACAGGAAGTCTGAGTCCTCAGTCTTTACTACTCATTAGCTGATCATAACTGTAACAGATATAAAATGTATAATTTAATGTCTCAAGCCTTAGTCATCTCCTATCTGTACTACAGCGGCCTCCTCACTGAATCTGTTGCTTCCATTTTGCCTCCTAGAGGAAACTCAACCAGAGAGATCTTTTTAAAAGCATCAGTCATATCTTGTCTCCCTCTTGCATGAAAATTACTTAAGTGGTGTGGTAGGCAGAATCATGCCCCTTCCCAAAAGATATTGGGCCCTAATCCCTAGAAATTGTAAATGTTACCTTATTTGGAAAAAGGGTCTTTTCACATATAGTTAAGGATCTTGAGATTGGGAGATTATCCTGGATTATTGGGGTGGTGGTCTAAATGTTATCACATGTATCCTTATAAGAAGGCAGAGGAGAGTTGACACATACATGTAGAAGAATGCAATGTGAAGATGGAGGTAGAGATTGGAGTGATGTGGCCACAAGCCAAGGAATGATAGCAACCACCAAAAGCTGAAAGAGGAAAAAAGTAGATTCTACCCCAGAGCCTCTAGGTGGAGTGTGGCCTTGCCAACACTTTGATTTTGACCAGGTGATACTGATTTTGAAATTCTGGCCTCCAGACCTGTGAGAGAAGAAATAGCTGTTGTTTTAAGCT